GTTTTTATTCTGTTTTTTTTTTCTAGTGACACAGTAAAAACCAAAGCACAACATTAAAACCAAATTCTTTTTGTTTGTAAATAACTTTGAAAAGCTTTGTACCAGAATAATATTTTCAAGTTTATCTTTTTTATCTACAGTAACAATGCCATTTTTTGTCTATTAATTGCATAAACATTTTTTTCAGACAGTATCAACTAAAGAAAGCCTCGTTGATACAAGAAATATATACATAAATGTATTTCTTTCTTATGGTTGGAAATTACTAGTGGTGAAACAAATATGCCTAGGTTTGATTAGCAGGATTTATTTCTAATTCATTAAAATAATTCTACAATTTCAAATGTTGATCCATAGCCCACCCTGGAAATTAATTTTGGCCACTTTAACTAATAGGCAAGATATTATCAAACAAAGGGTATAGGGAGCTGAGGGCTCCCCACTTTGTTCAATTGCCAAACTGTGGCAAAACATGTTTCATAGAACAAAAATCCTTCAAAACTACAACCCCATATTCCAGAGGTGAGGACGTTGTTATGCTGAAATAATAATTAAACTGCTATATTCATATATTGTCAGAGACAATAGTCAGAAATATAGCATGTAAGCACCTTGATTGGGCAGAAATGTAAGAGGAAGGGGTAAGAGCCATAAATATTGCACAGAATTGCTGCACATTATGTAAGCAGTTTTATTTGGCTGTTAATTAAGGGGGAGAGATTAGGCAGTTTATATTGTGCAAAAAAATTAAAGTTTATTATGTCAGAGTCAAGAGTTTTAAAAATTTGCACTGGCACCCTGCACATCATGTAAGCATTTTTACTAAAAAAGACAGTGTGATTTTCCAGACCCAATGTAACACTTCTGCTCAACTTTAGATGTGTGTTTATGGATCACAACGGCGGAGTAGGTAATTCACCTTCACAGACTATGTGACTTAGTTAAGGGAGACACTTCAGTCCATCAACAGTTTGTAGAAAGGCAAAATATAAGCTCCCAAAAGATATATATAAGAGAGTTAATGAAATAAAAATACTTGTGATTCAGCTGACATAGGAGGATTGGAACACTTCAGGAATTCACAGCTATTGGAGGTGCTGTGCCTTTAACTGTGGAGATAGCAGTTTGTTTCAGCAGGATCTGTTTGTTGAGAGCTGGGGGATGGTAGCTGTGTTAGTTAGAGCAATGTCCAGACACAGTCCTGGTTTGAAGGTAGCAGAAGCAGCTGAGATTGTGAGAAGGAAAAGTCCAGTGTCAGTCTGCTTTAGACAAGGAAGGTATGTCTGGGGAAGACAGCCGCAGCGTGTCTTCCAGCAAGGTACTTCAGTAAAGCGAGGGGAAGAGAGGTCACAGTGCAGACAGGAGATGTGCGGTGTTACCATCTGGTGTTTACACATTGAACTGACACTGGACAATTGAATCTGGCACCTTAAACCAGGTATGAGGGTGGAGCTGAATGATGCCTCAGCTGAGGGGGCGGTGCCAAGCATGGAGACAGGAATGAAGGGGAGGTGAGTATGTTACACCCAAGAGCCAGAAATACTGATCATACTTGTTGCACACTTTGTAAGGCCACAATTTCAGAGGGGGAGACTAGGCAGGTGTTATGAAATAAAAATTAGAGTGTATATTTTCAGAGATAAAAGTCAGACATATAGTACAGATTTGATGCACAGTATATATACCTTTTGGCTAGGCCAAAGTTTCATAGAAGGATGCCATGCATATGTTATCCAGAAATAAAAATCAATTGTATGTTTTCTGAGACAAAAGCTAGAAGTATAGCACAGATTTGATGCACAATATGTATGCCTTTGTCTAGGTTGCAATTTCAGAGTGAAAGACCAGGTAGGAGTTATCCAAAAATAAAAATCAGAGTGTATTTTGTCTGAGAAAAAAAAAAAGAAATTTAAGTACAGATCTGAAATGGCTTTTGACTAGCCTGTAATTATCCTTTTTAACAGTGTTTTTTTAGAGGGAGAGACCAGGCCGGTTTCATTTGAAATAAAAAAATTACAGTGTCTTTCTTTTTTGAGACAAAAGGCAGAACATTTTTACAGATTTGATGTACAATTTATTTACTGCAATGCAATTTCAGAAGAAGAAAACAAGCAGGTTTAGTCATTTTTATAAAAATTACAGTGTATTTTTTTTCTGAGACAAAAGTTAGTAAAAATGTACAGATTTGATGCACAGTGTCACCCTTATCTGTATGTGGTTCTCGGCTTCCAGCCAATCACAGGCTTCAGGCCCTGAAACCACTTGTTTTAAAGGGATAGTGCACAATCCCTGTGACCAGCTGGTATACCTATATTGCTGTTCCCATTGTCTTCTCTGCACTTTTCTGCACTTCAGTGTGTTCCTGTGTTTATTCCAGGATACTTTTTTATGCTTGTATTTCTATGTATTGTGCACTCTGAGAGACTTCCTACATACCTGCATTCAACTGCACTTCATACTCCAGGAGAGTTACATTCTCTTTCATCAGTAGGCTGGTCTGAGCTGCCTGCATCACTGCACTTGTGTGTTCTCTGTGAGAAAATTCCAACATTCCTACTCCTCCGTGTCCTGCATTCTCCTAATGAGCCTGTTACCTTCATGTATCAGTCTGCTTTGTGAACCCTGAACTGCAACTGTCTCTGTCCTCTGTGAGCCAGTGAATCCTGAATCTCAGTGCTGTAGCAGAATTTTCTCCTCTGTGAGCTTCCCAGAACCTCAGTGCAGCAACTGTCCCTTTCCATTGTAAACCAGTGAATCCTGTACTTTACTGCTGTATAAGACTTCCTTATATGTATGCCACTGTGGCATACAAGGCATAAAATGTGCACAATTTTTGAATCAAATAGTTATAAATATTGTATAAATATATATACATATTGTAAATATTATAAAAGTGTATTATAGTACATATAACAAACTTCAATATATGAGTTTACATATTTTGCACATTTTAAAAGGTTGCACTAATTTATAGAGCAATCAAATCTAATTATAATCCTATAATTGTTAAGTTTGTTATATGTACTATAATACACTAATATTTATAACTATTTGATTCACAAATTGTGCACATTTTATGCCTTGTATGCACTTTATATTGAGGCTAGCATTTATTTCACTACATCGACCTCAATTCATTCATGTATTCACAACGGATAATGTATTCACCTATTGCAGATGAGAAGGTGTGTACACTTTAAGTGTTAACACAATATAGATCTATTCCTTTATACACTGATTAAACCATTAGTGCTGTATATTTAGTTAAACAATCAATTGTGGCTAGTTGTCTATAGTGCAGCAGCTTCCAATATACTTTAAATTTACATCGTAGAATACCCAGTAAGCGCAGATTTAAACTAATACCTCCTGACTTCTGCCATGCTGCTGCAACCTCTGCTGTGAAGGGGGCATCTCATATGAAGGAGGCTCCTGATGTAAAAGGGGAACTCTCCTATTAAAGGGGGGCTCTGATGTGAAGGGGGATTTGGATGTGAAAGGGAGCTTGTGATGTGAAGGGTGGGCTCTGATGTTAAAAAGGGGGCTTCTGATTTGAAGCGAGCTCCCAGTGTGAGATGTGAGCACCTGATGTAAAGGGTACTCCTAATTTAAGGGGCTCCTGATTTGAAAAGGGGACTCTGATGTGCAAGGGAGAACCCCATGTTTTTTTTATTTGTGTTTTTGTGTGGGCTCTCCCCTTAAAATCTAAACTAGACCACTATCTGGTAGAGTAGGGTATGGTAGGGATTTTGGAGGGGGCACACATGTTTTTTTTTTACATTTACGTTTTTTTACATTGTAGACTGAGGTGCCTTGAGATTATGCATACTTTGAGTCCCCATTCACACCTAGGTGTTTTAGAGCTCACATCTTGTGGCTTCAAAATGCTCAACACAAGTAATTCCATTTTTCTATGGCCCTTGTTCACACCTGAGTGTTTTGTCACCTGCCGAAAAACACCTGTTGCTGGAAAAGGTACACGAGTTTCTTTTCTGCAGATTACTGCCAGTTTGGGCCCATGGACATCAATGGAAACATGCAACTCAAACGGTTTAGTGTGTTTTTTGTGCACATTTGTTGGTTTACATTAATTTCTCACAATGTGTCAACAAAAAATTGCGACTTATGTATGCACATCAGACACATGCAAAAACACACAAAAAATTGGCAAGAACGCTAGATAAAAACCAGCGATGATATGTACGAAAACGTTGCTGTCTAGGTTTGAATGGGGCCTAAAAGTGTGCATTGACTGCAAAAAGGTTGAGAAACACTCTTGTAACTCACTATCATATGATGGTGGTTAAGCCAAAGTGGCCTGTCTGTAGGACTCCATAAAGGGTTTCCAGATCACTTGTTATCACAGCTTTTTCTTTTGGGCTGTGTTTATAACCTACTTTTAGAACTACTCTTTACTGGGCTGTCAAAAAAATGGTACAGTTGGAAAATGGAGCTGCAGCAAGAGAAAGTCCGGGTACCCCAATAGCCAATAAAAGTTATGTAACGTTTAAATAATTTATTTGTATTATAGTATTATATCCACATTGCAGAATGGACTTTTTTTAAATGTTAAATTTACTGGAAAACAACACATGGTAAATGAAGTAGGTCTCTGCTTTGGTGAAAGGTCCATTACCCAGTGTTTTTGTTTGTGTTTACTTGTCTTTGCTATTAGGCTGGGATTCCAATTCATTATATACATTTAAATGTCTCCATACTGCTGAGGATATTTACTATTTACTCACCAGGAAGTGCATGCTTTTCTACTTTTAATTCTGAAATAGGAAACAGTCTCAACAGTCTTTTAATATGTTTACTGAGGCATTAATTTCAGTAAACTTTTTATTGTAACCAGAGAGAATTGTGGTGATGCATTTATTAAGCAGTATGTTAGGAATACTTATTTTAAATTGAGTTCATTCATAATTAAGCTTTAATCACTGTTTTCTTGGCAAGATAGAATATTTTGACAAATATATTTGTTTACTTAATCTTTTTAGTGCCAGAGGGGCTTATAAACCCCACCGCTTCAGAGGTGGCAGCTCTATCCCATGCAGAGAGTCTTTGCCAGCACTTTGAATGCCTCAAACTGTGTGGAGAAAAGGGAGAAGATGAGAAGCAGATCATGCAAAGTCTCAATGTTGTCCTGCTGGCACTTAATGAAGACAGTTAAGTATTATGCAAATTTCCCTAAACATTTAAGCTGTAGTATGCTTGATTGTACCTACACACCCTCTCTGCTAATATACTTGCACATCCCTGTTATTGTAACTTTTAATTAAAAAATAATGTTAATCAAAAATGTGTGACCCAGAAAACTCCCATCTGAGTTTAACTCTACAGTTAATTGAAAACAGTAAACTTTAGCTAGTAGAATTATCTAAATTATTATTGCAAAAAATGAATATAGTTGTTAGAGGAGGACATTGATATGAGCCACCATAATGGCACAGACCTGAAGCATTATTGCTCTACTCATCAGTGAAAGGACAAGCAGCCCAGATCATACATGGTAACAGACTTCACAGAAGTCACACAATTACATGCAGGCCAGACTTCCAGACTCAGTTTACCATTAAAAGTAAAACTGAGTCTTGATGACCCAACACTGGGTATACCTTCACCAGCCCTCATATGTCTTCTATACCTATAGGTAAACACACTTCCTAGTGCTCAACCCACATCCACGGTCTTCATACCTTCCACATTGGGAGCCTTCCATTTTTGTATCAGGAGCTGTCAATTTCTGTGTCCAGGGATAGTGATTGATTCACAACCGCATGTAATAGTATCATATACACTGGCCAGAGTGTCCCACCCAGCTCCTGGTGACCACTGACCTTACTGGTTGCTGGGACACCATAGGTGCATTTTATAGTAGAAACGCCTCTGCACACTTAATAGTGATTGTCTGTGGACTCTAGCTCTCCACAATGAGATGCTCAGTGGTGACTGTTTTCTTGATTCCTGCAGCAATAACCTATGGAACCCCAGGTGTCCTTGTTCAGATGTGGCCTTTGTATCCATTCAGATAAATGACAGTGGCCACATTCCTCTGTGAAAGTCTGCATGCAATCATATGTGGTACACTTAAGAAAAGATGATTGTCTGCATCCAGGGATGATCATCTATCCCAAAATGCATGTAATCAAGCCATGTATGATTACATGAATACTGCCACTAACAGATGCGGCTGCTGTCACCCTGTTATTAACTTTAATAGGTACAGAGGCCGCATCTGAATAGGACCACCTTGGATTCCTGCTGCAGGAATCCCAGAACGCCCTGTGTAGCCCACGATTGGGACAGATTACAAGGTTCTAACGAGAACCAAGAAAGTTGTGCTGCAGGTGAAATCTTCCACTGTAATTTCCTGTCCTAAGAAATCCTGGCAGCAGCATTGATGAGAAACTACAAGGAAGAGTCCCACACATGCACATAATTTCTAGTTTCCTTTACCCCTTTATCCCTTTCATAAGCAGTAATCATAGATGCAAAAATGTCCAACTTATTGAATAATATACCTTCCTAATATAATATATACATTGTTTTTAAGGATTTATAAGACTTTTTATGGTACGTTTTTTAATACTTTACTTAGGTTTTTTTTATTTTTTTATTTTAGGCTGAAAAATTGGCAAATATGTCAATGTTTGTATGTAGAAAAAATAATGTTTTTTTACAATGCATTTATTTTTACACTGCAGTGTCTTCTTCAAATACAGTAATTCTTTTTCTGTGTGCTGGCAGTTGGAGGTTTATTTAAGATTATTTTACTTAACCAGAATGAAAGTTTGAGCATTGACCCATAACAAAACATAAATGGTAAAGTAGCTACAGTATATGCAAGAATCCTCATATTATACTTGGACAAGCACATTACATGTGGTTATTCTATCAGTATGAATGTCACTTCCTACTACATTTCTTACTTAGTTGGGAGGTATTGCTGCTTCTATCAGCTGCCAAAAATAAAGGATAGAGAGAGCTAAGTGGAAACTGAACGAGCCTAACAATATCAACATCAGCCCACATATGAAAGGTCACATGTGGAGCTGTGTAGATATGCTAATACGATTGAACTGTCATGGCTTCTGTTTTCACAAGCGCTGTGACACATACATATATATATATATATCTCACAATGATTTCAATTCTGTCAAATGAGTGTTGCAATTTATCTGAATCAGCATACTTTTTAAATTTTAATTCTTCACACCCAGCAGGGGTAATGCCTGTGGGAAGCGTTGACTGACAGTCACCGCTCTCTGCAGGGAGCAGGTTGGTAACTGAACAATGAGTAGTATATGATCGCTGAGTTCTCGATCTATAGAGCCGACATGTGACAGCTGCAGTGTTAAATGTTGCCTCTAATTATGGGAATGAGTGTATTTTATTCTCCCCATAATTCTCAGTTAACTGCTGCTGTGAAAAAAAATATGTAAATACTTGAATGTCCATAACATGGCCATAAATAAGTTAAACACCTTGCTTTTTCTGAAGCTACTACCGCCTCATCCAAACACAGCAGGAAAAGAGTGGCATTGTAAAACTACTTAACCATCAGAAAATCAGATGGTCAGCCTTGATAAACTTTTTGATTGAACTCATATTAAAGAGAGTATTGCAAAGCTAGTCTTATGCTGTAATCTGAACTTTCAGACAAAAACTGCACAGGCTTACTTATGAAGATTATTTATGTCCCCTAGCTCAGTTGGCTTACTTTTGTCCAGAAATGACACAGAAGTTGGCCTCTGCCCCCCCTGACACTTCAACTTAAGTCTACCTTACTTCACCAATTGCACATTACAAAAAATGTGATAAAGTGTGCGGTGACAGGCCAGCAGATGTCAAATTTCAGTTGACCTCTGACCCTCTGATTGCCTTAGGAAACTAGCAGGCATCTTTTAAATTGAGTTGACTTTTTGTCATTTAGCAAAGTTTCAATGGGCCCTGTGCATAGACGGTCAACTGAGTGGCTGCATTTTATTAAGAAGAAAAACATTGCCCTGTGTAAATTATCCACACTACAAGAATGCAGCAGAAAAGAATAGCAGGGGATTAGCGGAAGATACAATACTTTATTGCAGGCAATGATACAACCACATCAGGCTGTCAGAATGGGACTCAGTCAATAACTGTGTTGTGTGAGTGAGTTACACCTTCTGAAGATGTCTTAACCCTGGTGTTGCTGAACACTGGGATCCACCTGTGTGTGTGTTTTTGGTACTGTTTTGGAGTGTTTATTATCCTGTCAGTTACATCTGCCTGTTGGGTAAGTTCCTTCATTTGTCCTTCTGAAGCAATATATATGAGTGCCATCAATCACCTTTGTCTTTCTTATATACATTTCATGTGTTGTACTTAACTGCAGAGTCTTGCTGCTCTGTTGAAACTGACAAACAGATACCAGTTGCGTCCTAATTTTAAGTGGCAATGGTTGCCTACTGTATTCACATGATCAGTTCCAGTGAACCAATTGCATGGGTACAGAAACATTTTAGAGTACACCCCCGTCTCACAGTTGCAATAAAACAATACTTGAATGTTTTAGCAGGCTGAAATTAAAAGAAATTTTAAAAGCATTTAAACAGAAAAAAGTCTGCTGTGGCGAGTGGGCTCTTGCCATATTGTGCAAGTATGTACAGCATACCTGTATATTATGGTAAACCTACTATGCAATTGTGCCTTTCTCTAGCGCTGACCGATCTAGGCTGTAAGTTGCAGCCTGTTCCTCACTGCTACCATTGCTACGTCCAGGCACATCCACATGTGAACAGGAGTTAAATCGTCCCCTGTAACTGACTCCATTCTTGCTATCTTAAAGATTCCAGGAGTGAGCTAAAGTGTACACTGCACTGCACACATGCCTTCAGTGTACACAGAAAATATAAAAACTGCTAGAAGAGTCAAAAAATAGTGTTTGGCAGAAGAGACTTGGCATATGTCTTCTGCCCAAAAAAACCTACTTTCTCTCAGTTTTAATTTTGATGTTTAGTTCTGTTTTAAATTACCAAATAGTTTGTGCAGTAATTACTGTACATGTTATATATATATTTTTTTTATTTAAGTTGTATTTTCCTTTTAAGTTCTTCATATTTCATCATATTCAGCCAGGCTACATGCGACAACCCATGTATTTCTCTTATAACTTATAGTAATACTGTAATTTAGTCCCATTAAGCTTTTGCTATCAACATATAACCTACACACAGACCATAGCTCACAGAACCAATACAAATAAGCTCTACTAGTCAATAAAAATGCCATGGTGAAGATTACATTTGTGCAAGCAGGAGAAATCTTGAATAAGATCAGCCCTCAAGGGTTATAGGCCAGAAAGACCCCCCAGCTGCTAAACATTTGCTTGTGAGTAGCACTCTGCAACTTAAGCTTCCTAAATCTTAAAACCCAGCAAAGATTGTAGCAGGAAATCCAAGATTTGTCTTACGCGAATTAGTTGGGGGATATGCATTTTATTCTAGCTAGTGATTGCTTTCTTTGTATCTCAAACCTCAGAATAATATTACATCGAAATAGAACAAGATATATCATAAAGGTTCAATTCCCTTAACTATAGCAAGATTTGTTTGACAAAATAACTGTTTTCAGCAATGGCAGCCAAAGATTGAACAGTCACATGGTGGAAAATAATGATTGTTAAAGCCAATAACACATACTGTATGTTTTAGCTAAGTGAATTGAGACAGAATTTTGTTTTATTGCAAAGGTAGTATATCCAAAGTAACGAATTCCATTTTTTGTGTTTCGGATTTGCTCTACAGTGCAGGCATCAGCCAAACTATTGACGGACTATGATGTCTTACCATCACTAGCGAGAATCCTAAAAACAAGTCAAACATGTGCAGAAAAGACAGCTGAAGTACTGGCAGAGCTTGCAAAAAATGGTAAGCACTCTACTCTTTTTAATCACAGCAATGGTATAGCTAGGTCCAAGCTGACTTTCCCAAAGAGTAGCTACAAAGAAAGTGAAAATCAAGGCATAAACTTAATGCATTGTTTCCCTTTATAAGTGTATACAGTATACTGTGTGGCTTATCGAGGAAACCCAAACTTTGAGTGCTGAGATATCACCATGGTGAAAACTTTTGAAGATGGTGTATTTTGATAATGCTTATATACATCATGCACTCGAGAATGATTGGTTAAGATATATTTTGACTTCTAGATTACTGGCTCCTATCAGATGTGATCCTTTGAGATCATTGTTTGGTTTCCCTCCTATGTTTGATGAAATTAATATAAATTCATCTTCTGAATTAAGGTTCTTTGATCTGGTCACCCTGATCCATATTTCAAAGGACGCAGCCTAGGAGGAGGGATTGCTGCAGAGGCTCAAGTTAGTAACATGTGATATTATCATGTGGCATTGAGAGAAGCTTGGAAAAACACTCAATATTAGGGATCCCAACCTGAAATAAGTAATTTCAGGGAGATGCCCTTCTCATTTCAGGGAGGTGCCCTCTGACCCCCTTGGTTTGCAACAACAAGGAAGAGAGCAGCCCCCTGAAATGAGGCTGATGTCAAAGAAGCTAATGCTTCCCTTGTTATCTGCTGTTTTTTTTTAGTATTCTGACACCTGCTGCCGTCAGAATAAAAAAAATAAAAAATCAGCATAGGAATGAATAGCAAGATTGCTATTGGCTATTTCAATTTGCAATAGCCAATAGCAAGCTGGCTAATGCACCCGCCCTCTGCTGCTGTCAGTCAGCAGAGGAGGACCTGATGGAGAACTTCAGGTCCGCCTCTGCTGATTGACAGCAGCAGTGGGCGGGTGCAAAAGCTAGTCTGCTATTGCAAATTTAAATAGCCAATAGCAATCTAGCCATTCATTCCAATGACTGTTTTTTTTTTTCCTGACTGAGACCGTCCGGTGGCCCCGATGTCAGGGAGAAAAAAGACAGCAGCGTAAACCTTTCCCTGCTAGGTAGAGCAGAGTATACCTTTCCAGGAGAAAATGTTTATCTCCCCGGTGTCCGGGAGCAGCTATCTTATAGTGGGAGACTCCCAGGAACATCCGGGAGAGTTGAGAGGTCTGCAATATGCATGATACAGGAAAAAACTGTGCTGTTAGTCAGCCACCATATGTATGGAGCAAGATGGAGAGATGCTGATGTCACTGGAGGGATCCATCTGCCATGGTGGCAAAAGAAATTGCAGAACTGCTGTTATATTATTGCCTTGCCAATACTTTTGCCCTTAGGAATTGTTACCAGATTAGGAACCCGATTCAATAGGTCATGTTTCTGGTTGCAGGATTATTTAAAACAAATTGAACATTATTTAAGGGTAAGAACTGTTACCAATGAAAAAACTCACTTTAACTTGTGCTTTAAATTATGACAACTGTACACTGACAACGAAAAGTTTAAGAATGGATTTACACCTTTGCATTGAGGTGACATGTGAGTTACCACAACCCATGATAACGTGCTACAAACACATTACTGTGTTGTGATGCCATACATTTTAAATGGTACTCCAATGCACTAAAGTAACGCACCTGAGTTGCAGTGCACTGCAACACATAGAACACACTATTGTGCATTGTGTTGCACTGAGTTGCAAAAGAAAAAAACAGACCTTTACAAAAAAAATAAAAAAAATACCCTTAATTACCCTTAAAATACCCTTAATTACCCTTACTGCAGGACTTTTTTACATTTTGCATTGTTCCTTAAGTGCATGCAATTCCACTAAGTGTGGTGCATTGAAAGGCCATTAATTCTGAATGGCCATCCAGTTTATGCAAGTGCGTGAAAAATGATGCGTTTCTGATGTATTGTTTGCAGCCCAGAAATGACTTTCCCTAATGCAACCAGTAATGGAATGTGTATAGGCCCTGGAGGGAAAATAAGGTGTAAGGACCCTGCCTTAAATTGGGGTGTTTCTAGCTTAAAGTGAAATTTAAAATCAAAAGTTTTTTAAACTATTTAAATGTTGACTAAATCATTTACAATAGATGCTGCTTGATGTTTAAAAGTTTGAGTTTTCTTCAGACTCAACCAGTGGTCATTCAACCAGTGTTTTAGGTTGGCTCCTTTGCCCTGCAGGGTCTTATGGTGCAACTCTTGTGTGTGCTAGTAAGATGTGTGTGTATCTACAAACACACAGGTACAGCAGAGCAAGTCACCTCCCTGCTCCTCACTCCTCCCTTCTCCAAGCTAGTAGACCTACTGATCTTGTGCTCAACAGAAGGGTCAGGGAAGCTGAGCTGAGAGAGTTAGAGCCGGATGTTCGGAAACATGATGACTATAAATGCTTGGGAGAAAATGTAAAAGTTATTTTGCTTGACAATGTACAGTATATTTGTTTGATATGAATTCATTATTTAAAAATGTTTGAGAGTTTTATACAACTTTAATTTATTGTTGTTTGCAACTAGGCTGTAGCAATGTCTGAGCTTTGTTTATATTTTCTGTGCTCGCTAGGTTTCTCCTTAGCTCAGGGTATTAATTATTTCCACCCACTGCTGTTGAGTTGTCTTTAGTAGTTATTCTGGGAAATAATGTATTTGGTTACTAATATTTATCCGTCTTGGATAATTATTGAGGGGTTTGTTCCAGTTATGTGAGCTAACAGGAGAGGATAAATATTTGGAGCAACCTTCTAAAAGCATTTGTGTACTTCCCTCCTGTGCTTTTTCCTGAAGAGGATGCAAATGTGAGGAGGTCTCCTTCTTTTGGTCTCGTCCTAGCTCGGGACCAATGCCAAGGCCAAAGGAATCTGAGTTGGCATGTGTTAGGACCTAAAGGTACAGAGCGGTGGCTATAGGGAGCAAATCTAAGAGAAACAGGAAGGTGGCTACCCAGTGGCAGTATCGTCACAGGAGTTTGCTATGCTGAAGAAGAATGTCCTGGAGAGTTTGGGGAAGCTTCTGCTAGAGAGACATTGCATGGATACCTCATTACTTAACATTTAAAGGTACAGTGATTGTCTCCTACTTAAGGTCCCTGCAAACCTAATTGGCTGTTTCCCAATTAGTATTGGGAGGCTGCTACTAAACGGATTAGGGTCATCTACAATGCTGTTGCTGTAGTCAGTGACATCTCTCTCATATAGAATCACTGCATCTTATCTAGCTGTTCTTAAAGGGCCACTTTAAATTCTCTTGCATTTAGAAGACTGTTTTTGCCCCACAATAAGCCAAAGACCTTCCCTGATATGTTAAGTAGGCTGGGGGTAATCCTACACTGCTCAGGTGGGGGGAGTACCACTAAGGTAATGAGGTGAAGATGAAAGTAAGCAGAACAAATGGATGGGAAAACGAGTAAAAAAGAGGAATACTGAAAGAAAGAGGGCACTAATACCCTTAACTCAAACTAACCAATTAGACTGTCCCCACTGTTTTACAGTAATCTTTGCCACAATCTCCAGATTGCACACAATGGCTGTAAAATACACATATGCCGGTGGCAGTACTTTCTATTGGTCACATATACAATGCCCGTATGTTTCAACTATACATGCATTACACTTGCCAAATATAATTTAAAAGCCAGTTAGAATTCCCCTTATACTTTTCTTACTTCATAGTCACAGTTACTCAGGTTACAAAAATACACAAGTCTATCGAGTTCAACCTGTAGGGGAAAAAGAGAGAATCCATAAACAGAACCCTATGCCTACAGTTACCGCCAGTTGATACAGAGGAAGGCAAAACAAACCTATAAAGCATAGTTCAATTTGCTCCAACAGTGGGGAAAAAAACCCTTCCTGATCCCAAAGGTAATTGGATATTCCCGGGATTAACAATCCCTGGTGTTTTTTTCATTGTAAAATGTTAATATCTAATTATATTCTGTGCATTTAGGAATACATCCAGATTTTTTTCCAAACAATTAACTGAACTACCTTGAACGAGTTCCTGTGGAAGCATTTTCCACATTTTTACAGCTCTTACTGTGAAGAAGCCTTTCTGTATGCAAAGGTTAAACGGCTTTTCCACCATACGCAAAGAGTGACCCCATGACCTTTGCAGTGGCCTTAAAGTGAATAATTTGGCTCTATATGTTCACTATATGGTCCATTTATGTTTTTTACATGGTGATCATATCCCCCCTTAATTGCTTCTTCTCCAGAGAGAACAAATTCAGTTCAGCTAATCTTTCCTCATAGCTGAACTCCTTAAAGCCTCTTATGAGTTGTGTTGCCCTTCTTCAGTTCCACTTTCTCCTGTTCCACAACATTCTTTTTGTGAACTGGTGCCCAAAACTGAACTGCATATTCCAGATGAGGTCTTACTAATGATTTGTACAGGGGCAGGATTATGTCTCTCTCTCTGGAGTCTAGACCCCTTTTGATACAAGAATGTATTTTGCTTGCTTTAGAAACTGCAGCTCAACATTGCATGCTATTATTCAGTCTATGATCTACCAGAACTCCCAGATCTTTCTCCATCATTGACTCCCCCAAACATACTCCCCCTAGAGCAGGGGTCTTAAACTCAATTGACTCGGGGGCCACTCAACACATTTTTTTCTCCCATGAGCAGTGGCGACTCTAGGAACAATATGTAGGGGGGGCACATAACATACAACAGTCAAATCTGGGGGGGCACTAATAATTTTCATTGCATGTCGCAACCGCTGGGCACCGATGAGCTGATTTAATTGTGGATGGCATCGGCAGCCCGCGGTTGCGACATGTAGTCCAACGCCGCCTACAATCCTGCATACCGCAACGGCCGGGCGCCGATGCCATCCTTTCTCTGTTTTTAATGTTACATTTTGTTTTTATAAATATAAATAAAGGGATGCACAGATACCAGTTTTGCGAGTACGAGTACTGGTACTTGTCGAGTACTTACAAGTACGAGTACTGATACATTTTTGTTTATTGTCATGTCACAGTTTTTCGAAAACAATACAGACTAATGATTTCAGGACAGTGGTGGAGTGCCAGAGCCAGGTCCCAGCTGCAACCGCTGCAACCCGGGTAGTTCTCATGAAAATGCCAAGTATCTGCACTGGTACTCGAAAAGTATCTGTGCAACCCTACTTTAAAATAAAATTTAACTATATCCTGTATGGTACTATGGACCCTAATATACTCGCAATAAGGCCATATCTGTAGGTTTAGGTGCGATTAGGGATTCCTGCATCAGGAACTTGCGTTTTCCTGAAGCAGGAATCACTAATCTGGCTTTTGCAAGTGACAGCTATCACCCATTCAAGTTAATGATCACGTTACATCAGCTGCATGTAAACGCCTGCACACCGCATGTTTTGGTATGTGATATGATTACATGCAGTTATAAACGCTCTCCCTGGATGCACAATCAATGTGTTCAGGGAGACTGATTGATTCCTAACTGAATGTAATCATATCACATACCATGACATGCGGTATGCAGACGTTTACATGCAGCTGCTGTCATCTGATCATTAACTTGAATGGGTGACAGCTGCCGCTTTTAAACACCAGATTAGGCATTCTTGCTACAGGAAAACGCAAGTTCCTGATACAGGAATCCCTAATCGCACGTAAAGATACAGGTGTGAATGGAGCCTAATACACTCTCCCCCATACACTTAAAAAAAACTACCCATGTGCATATAAAATACACCCTCCAACCCCGCCCCCACACACCCACATGTAAAATAAAATACAGAGCACCCTCTCCTGCTTATCTTTTTGCAGGGAGGAGGCTGTGAGGAGGCACGATCGCTGGTGATTGATTGGTAAGGTCTGCTGCAGACCTTACTAATCAATCCGAGTGCCGGCACAGAAGCAGCTCTGCGGTCTGCATCCGGCAAAGATGCAGACCGTGTAGCTGCTCCCGCAAGTTGGGTACATGTTCCATGACCACCTACCTGACTTGTGAGCTGACTGCGGGCCACATAGTACCACCTCGCAGGCCAATTGGTACTTTGAGACCACTGCCCTAGAGTGTATGAAGCATACATGTTTTTTGTCTCCAAGTGCATAACTTTACATTTATCAACATTAAACCTCATTTGCCAAATAGATGCCCAATAGACATGTGCACTGCCAAAAAATTCGTTTCGTTTCGTTTTAAATTCGGATTTGTGTTATTTCGTTTTTCAGGATTCGGGTGTGAAAGTCAATTCGGAATTCGGATTCGGACGAAATTCGGTAGCGTTAGTACGAACGTTCGGTTCGTTTTCTGTTCTTATTCGTTTCTTATTCGTTTCTTATTCGTTTCGTTCGTTTGCAGCAAAAGTGACATTTGAGGGGGAAAAAATATTTTTCTCCTTCTCTAATGTCACTTTGCTCCAACGAACGAAACGAATAAGAAACGAATAAGAACAGAAAACGAAACGAACATTCGTACGAACGCTACCGAATTTCGGAAATGGAAATTCGGATTCGTTTGCATTCGTTATGTCTGTAATTCGGAATTCGGATACATCCGAATGTCCGAATTTCCGAAAATTCGTCCGAATTTCGATTCGGAACGAAACGAATCGCACATGTCTAATGCCCAATCACACAGTGCATTCAGATATTCTTGTAGGTTGGAGACATCCTGTAAGGACTGTATTCCACTACATAGCTGGGTTTCATCTGCAAACACAGAAATTGTGCTTTTAATCCTCAACTCTATATCATTTTTAAATAGAATAAACAATAAGGGGCCCAACACTGAACCTTGGGGGGCACCACTAACAACCTCATACTATTCAGAGTATGAATCATTGATCACCACTCTCTGAATATGGTCTTTAAGCCAGTTTTCTATCCAATTACAGATTGAATATTCTATACCTACTGACCCTTACTTATACATTAGCCGCATGTGGGAAACTGTGTCAAACGCTTTAGCAAAGTCCAAGTATACCATATCCACAGCCAGTCCTATGTGTAATTTATTGCTTACTTCCTCATAAGAGGAAAGTACATTTGTTTGACAACTTTGGTCTTTGTGAATTTAGAATTACCTTCAATAAAATAATTTCTGATTTGATACTAAACATATCCACATAGTTCAACCTGCTTTGTTTATTTAATAAGCTCTAATACTTTCTGTGCATTACATAGCCTAAGTATGGTTTAATTGCATGTCATGTACCATATGTAAACTGGGTAATGTATTTATACTGTGTCCTACTGACCTTTTATGTTAATGGTTTCATGTGGTAAATGCTTATACATTCTTCACTGAGGTCTCTGAATGCCTATTTTCTGTGTGTAGAGGAAACGAGGAAACCCTGCATTGAAGCAGGTCTGGTGATGGTGCTGCTACCTTTGCTGCAGAGCTCAGATCAGGAGATGCTGCTTCATGCTGGCAAAGCCATTGGTCGCATCTGTTATGAAAACAGTAAGTGAAAGATTTATTTAAAATTCTAGATGAGCGGAGCTTGTACCCTTAGAGAGAAATCAACCTATTCATGAGCAGCCCCAATGCTACGGTTAAATGCCACAGAAATGTGATCATTTAAAAAGCAGGCATACATAAAATTAAGTGTAAAACAAACAAATGAGAATTGCATTAAAAAAATAGCAGACGTTGTTAGGAGGCATATTTGATATGCAGACACATTATTGTGTTTTTTAGAAGCAGACATACGGTGGGGGTAATTCTTACTGAAAAATCCAGCTGGGATATGTCAAAGTGATAGGTTAGAAATAGAGGTTCATAGTGATTTTCAATAAAATAAAAAAAAAGTAGCAAGAAAAATATGAAAACCTTAACTTATCAGCCCAGAGGTCTTTAGGCCTTCATATTCTGAGGAATTCCAGTCATAAAAAGGTTTTTTCATTTAATTGCAGACCTTGACTGCTGATTGCTTGGAAACAGTGCTAAAATGTGTTATGGAATGCTGCCTGTCTCTGCTAATGCTTTTAGGGAAGCAAAGAGAAATAAAGCACTAGTAAATGCTGTCCATTCATAATGACTAGTGGCTAGGCACCACTGTGACTGGTTTACCAACATCTTCATAATAGGTGCATCTGTCATTCTCAATATAGTCACAGCAGGTGGCATAAACCATAACATCATTTTAATTTCAATTATTTAAGTGCACCTTGACATGCACATACCAGGGACTTGATTGTGTGCCAAGTTCTGAAGGTCATTTAAAGGAAATCTCATTTTTTTTCTGTACGTGACCTCTACATTTATAAGCAAAAAGGGCTTCACTCCTCACAGAGCTCACAGATGTAACCCAGACTCACTGATCTGAAAAGAGGCAATCCTTCTTGAGAGAAAAATAGAGGTGGTTATTTCTGACTTCTTCTTCTGAAAATTCTAGTTGCTTGGCCAGGGGCGGACTGACAACACATGGGGCCCCCGGGCAATATAAGATTAAGGGGCCCCCTTGTGTTCCGCCTATATACAAGCCCCACCCACCCACAAGCTCCACCCACATATACATTGTTGTGTTACAGAATTAGTTCAAAATAACAGGTCTATTCACTAAAAGTTGAATTTAATTGCAGAGGAATTGGTAGAAGAATTATAAATCGTGGAATGACCAGTCAGCATATCTGCATTAAAGTGACACTAAACTCAGGAGATAAACCTTAAAAATACATTCAAGTACCTCAACTATTGACCAAAATGTATCTTATCACTCGGCTGTAGATCCTCAAATCTTCTTTGAATTGGTGCTGACACTGTTCTTCCTTCTGGAGGGGGGCTACTCTTGTTCCCCATGGTCCCTGTGTGTGTTGTAACGTAGCCACCGCTCCAAGCTCACTCCCGGGATGGACAGCAATCTCCATACAAATTAGCAAACTGAATGTGAGATTGTAGTCCATCACAGGAGTGAGCTTGGAGCGGTGGCTACGTTACAACACACACAGGGACCATGGGGAACAAAAGTAGCCACCCTCCAGAAGGAAGGACAGTGTCGGAGATGATTTGAGGATCTACAGCCGAGTGATACACAAAGATGATACATTATTGTTAATAGTTAAGGTACTTGAATGTAAGTTGGTTTCAATTTGCAATAGCCAATAGCAAGCTGGCTATTGCCGCCTCCCTCTGCTGCTGTCAGTCAGCAGACGAGAACCTGATGGGGAACTTCAGGTCCACCTCTGCTGATTGACAGCAGCAGTGGGCAGGTGCAATAGCTAGTCTGCCATTGGCTATTGCAAACTGAAAAGGCCAGTAGCAATCTAGCTATTCATTTCGTTTTTTTTCTTTTTTCTAAATGACGGCAGCCCCGATGTGGAGAAATAAACAGATAGCAGGGAAAGGTTTACTCTGCTAGATAAAGCAGAGTAAACTTTTCCAGGAGAAAATGTTTCTCTCCTGGGTATCAGGGAGCCGCTTTCGTATAGCGGGAGACTCCCGAGAAACATCCGGGAGAGTTGAGATGTCTGCTATTGCCATATGAAATGCTTCCCCAACTGTAAAACACTCACTGTCACAAAAACCTTCATTGTTCCAGTTTAACCTCCTGTGAACTTGCTGCTACCTACACCTCTACATAACCCTCCCAACCACTCCTTACATCTCCACTGCCTCCAGTTCATTTGAGATCTTACCTCCTTGCCTTAACATTTAACAGCCCTTCTCTGCTACAGTACCACCTCTTCGAGTGGTGGACCTAAGTAACAAATGACCCAGCAATACTTTAAACAGTAATAGCATTAATGTATAAAGTTCTGCTGGTATTTGTAGTCCTGTATAGAGGGTGCCATTCTGCATTGCTGCAATGCAGAATGGCACCTGCTATAGAGGACTACAAATACTAGCAGTATTTTATACAGAGGCCCCAGGCTGCCGCATCACATACCAGGCTGCCTGCAGCTCCTCCGGCTCCTTTCTCAATATCCGGCGGCCGGTGTTTACAGACGGTCCCCCCATCTCTGCACTGGCAGTAGCGTGCATGGGACACTGGGGCCCCCCACCGCTCCGCACCTACCTCTCGACGGCCCGCAGTGGCGTAGCCAGAGTAACGTGCGCCCGGGGCAGAACAAAATTTTGCTTCCCCCCGGTGATATGTGGGGGTGTACAGGTATTTTTTTGCCTATATCTACTGCTATCAAGCAGTAGATATAGGCAAAAAGTTTTTAAAAAACACTTTAACAGCGCTTAACACTTACCTTGTTTCGGCTGCACGCTCCCGTCCGAGAAAACGAGACTGATCCGGCGGCCGCAAAGCATCTTGGGGCGGGCGCATGGGCAGTTCGGATTCTCGGGCGGGAGATGAGCAGAACTCAAGGTAAGTCTATGGACGCGTGCACCCGCATGCAGACACCGCTGGATCAGACGTGCCTGCTAGCAGAGAGGTGTCCGCGCTGGATCGGAGAGCCGCAGCACCACTGAAGGGACAGATGAAAACATGGGGAAAGAAGAAGATCCAATTAAGAGACATAATTTAAGGTTACTGCTTTCATTAACATGGGGGGAGGGGAAAAAATGTATCCTTTAATGTCACTTTAATATGAAAAAGTTTATTTGAAAAAAATCAAACATCAAAAAAGTGAATCATCAGATTGCATCTACCCATTAAAAACCTTTGACAACGTTGTCTAAAAAACCAAAACCATTCACACTCCCACTCATACAGACGGCCCCTGCACACTTGCAACATAATGGAAAATCACTGTTGCTGGATCTATCACTGACTCTGTGGAGGGTTTAGAGGGTTAATGAGGACAGCAGAAAGTCCACAGATACCAATCTCTGTCTTATTTAACCTAAAATGTAATTCCTTAGACAAATGGAAATTCCTGACTTAGTTGTACTAATCCCCTTCCTCTAGGTAGAGTATAGTACATCCAAAAGTCTTCAGCGATATCCACCAATGTTGGTCTCCTCAGAGTGCGAATAATGACACCGGTGGATATCGCTGAAGACTTTTGGATGTACTATACTCTACCTAGAGGAAGGGGATTAGTACAACTAAGTCAGGAATTTCCATTTGTCTAAGGAATTAGAACATGCTAATGAACAAATACCATGTTCAACACACTGATTGTCCAGTACCAGTCCTCTTCTGGGTTTCATGACACCTAGGGGTCAACTTATAAACAATTCATCCCGAAAGTCTCTGTAAACATTCATTCTGTGTGAAATGAAGCAAAATGCAACATTCTTAGTGTATTTGTTTAGGTTAAATATAATACGAAATCACATTATGTCCACTAGATGGAGCTGAGGAGCATAGGAAACAAGTATTTTCTATGTTCCTCAACTCCATCTCATGGACATACTGTGGTAATACATTACGTTCAACTTGAGAAAAATATATATATATATATATACACTAATAGTGTTAGCTTTTTCCACTATTTGTACAGAATGAGTGTTCACAGAAATTCTCAGGTCAAATTCCTTTACAAATAAAAAAAATAGACCCCCTAGTGTCATTCAACCCACTTCATATGAGGCCAGGACATCATGGACCACTGCTTGGGGGTATGCAATTAAGCCCACTTGGGCTCATAGGAGAATGCTGGTACCAGTTAAGGTAACATTCAGGACTGCCCCACCGCAAGAGAAGAAAGAGGATCAGTGACCTCGCAGAAATGGACAGAAGACCCATGGAAAAAGGTATGAATGCAAAAAAAAATATTCTTTTTTAAATGGCAGGGGGATAAAAAAAAGGCTCCTAAAGATCCTTTTAACTACCAACGGCCCCTCATTATTTTATAGAAATAAAACACTGACCGATAAAACACTGACAGAAAGTAACCGTACACAAATAATTAAATACAAAAAAAAACATAAATACAAAGCACACTAAAGGAGTTAAACCAATGTGCCCTAAAAATAGCCAGCAAATAACAAATATGCATGGCCTGTGAAGATAGAAAAACGTAGCAATTCAGCAGTGATGAAATTTGATGATAGTGAAATTGGTAGTTTTGCCATAAAATTTCTCCATAATTACTTTGCTTATTTTTTTTTAATTTTTTTAAAGACCAACGGTTGGCATAACAGCCAGGCTCCTAGTATTTTCAGAAGGAAGTCAGCAATATCAGCTCTTATATTTCTTGTATTAAGGGTTTACTCCTTTTCAGATTTCAATGCAGTGCCACCTATTGGTGAAATCTTGTATTATGACAAAACCATAAAAATAGGACTTTTATCAGAAAACAAATGTAATTTGACAGACTGATACCTAAACATAAATTGTTATGGCAGTGATCTATCTTGGACAAAGAGGGGATATTGAATTTACTTGAATATATATTTAACATATACATATAGTCTTGGCCCACGCTACAGAGCAGAAAGATGAAAAACTTTTTACATGTAAAGTAACTGGTTTACATAGTTTAACTTTTTTATTGCAATCATATGGTAGTCTTATTGAGAATTAATTAATTAATTGCATTGATCGTATTTGTATATGATATCCATATGCAGATACTGTAGCATAACATGTGTAGAAACATAGTTAGTGCAATTTACAAAAATAATGCAGAATAATGACGCCATTCTACACCGGATTACGCAATAAAACACTAAAGGGAGAAAAGCTGTTGTATCTGTAGCAACCAATTAGGAACCATCTTGTATTAGTCCCCCCTTATCGAATTGGGTACAAAATACATGGAAAATGTTTACATCTCTTTCAGATGAACTACAAGAACATTTGGTCGAGCTGGATGTCATCAGTTCACTGGTCAGGATACTAACCGACTTTCCAGAAAATGATGCGCTGGTGCGTGTGGGTCTTTTGGCCTTGTCCAATCTGGCGGACCTAGGTTAGAGTCTTCACTCAGCCTAAGATAAGAATTGTCAAGCTATCAAGTTATAGTTCAGAAACAGAAGTTTTTGAAGACTACTATAGATGGCCATTGTCTGACCATGTCAATATCAATTATATAGCTATGGACATGCTGTGGCCTCTGTAGACACCCACTGTATGACTGAACTTGCGACTGTATTGATGCATCTTAACTGATTTTCCCAAATGATCGCTATTGCTGCTCAAAGATAAAGCCAGTGCCAGGGGGTGTCTGCTCAGTGCATAAACAAACTTTTTGCAAATCTATTTTCTTCTTTAGTTTTGGTTAGAGTAGGAAATGGTTCAAATCCACGTGACTTTTATTTTGCTTTCTGCATCCGATTGGAGAGATTTCCCTTCACTTTCTGTCCTGGAGACACAACTCAATTCAGACCGTTGCCTCCAGAACTAACATCCCATTTGGAAGATGTCTGTTTCTATTCTTGTTTCATACACATATAAGCTGGCAAAAAATGTGTTTCATTTCAGATTTTTCTTTCTTTTGGGTTTCAGGTCCAAATGCCTTTTCATTATTCAGATCTTTAGGAATTTCATTTTAGTTTCTGATGGGGTTTTCTGATTGGCCAGAAAACAGTCTCATGTCCAAATTACTTTCAGTTGGAACAAAATTTGGATGATCCGGAATTTCGTTAAAAGAACATTCAGATTCGTTTTTAATTTAGCCTCATTGGAATTTGGATATTCTGATGCATCTGAATGTCCGAATTCACAAAATTCTGTCCGTATTTGCACACAACGCAATTTACATGTCTACTGTTTAGGTGACAGCTGCAAAACTTTAGATTCCCATCACTTTCGGTCCCAGCAGCAATGGTGAATATCTCCAATAGTGACCAAACAGCAGTAAAAAATTTAAAATGCATCAAACCATAAAAAAGACACCCCTCT